TTCTTGTGCCCAATAATGCATAATTTCATTTGATAAACACGTTTAGATTGAATGGTAATTTATAATCAGTCACAGAACGTCGAATCTGAATCACTTGAAAAAACACGGGGGTGCTTAACTTTTTTCCAGGTGTATATAAAAACTCTCATACAAGAATGTTTTTTTTTATCTTTCCAATTGGTTCGGGGTTTTATGCGCTTTCCACATCCACTGGATTCAAACGTTCACCTTACTGCACCTGTTACAACTACCCAGGACACACAAGTCACTTCTTAGGCCTCACGCCAACAATTCAGTGCTACTTATTGCCTCAATGCAGAGATATTGTTACCCACAAATGCCACCTGATGGTTGCAAAGTCGATTTTGCTTTCCTGCCGTATCATATTGGGGAATAGATGAGAGCAAGATTATCGATAATATATTTCAACGCAATAAAATAATTGATGCAAAAACATTATTGATAATATCACAATAATTGATTATTGTTCCACCACTAATGTGTAATTGGTATAAAACCTAAGAGTACGTGGACTATCATGAACTTCTGTGTGCATTTGTTTTTCTTTGTTTAAAAGTATTAGTTTTAAAATGTGTACGACCATTTGTAGACCACGTGCATGTTGGCAAGAACCAAATGGTTGAGTTATTTTAATCGCTATATTACATGCTTTAGTTATCATTACTATATGTTTAGTATTTATTCTCCATTTTGTATTTCACGGTTAGTTGATTTATTTAATAATTCTCATTTATTCAGGACTTGCTCAGCTGGATGCTAAGTCAAGTGGAAGAATGGGTTCTAGAGCTCTGGGCTACTATTTTGTGACTACCATGTTAGCGGCAATTCTTGGAATCATTCTTGTTACTGCGATACATCCCGGAGATCCATCCATTAAAGAAGGAGTCGACTTGGAATCGGAAAATAAAAATGTCTATACATTGGACGCCTTCTTGGACTTGATAAGGTATGAAGATATGCATTATTACTCTGTACAACCAGTATCAGTTCTGTTCGGACTGTTTGGGTTTTTGTTTCTTTTTATAAAATATATAGTAGTAACAATTATACTTGTATGGTTTTGGTTTTTGTTGTTTTGGATTTCTTAAATTTTGTCCACATGTTTTCTAAACATGAACAAAGACATGTTACTAATGGATTATTTTTACATTCACTATATTTGCTCTACACAAGTGAGTGCTAATCCTATAATACAGCGTTTTCAAGTAGATACAAGTCGAACCCAGTAACAGTTTTGTAATTTGACTTTTAAAGAAAAAATATTGATAATATTTTCTAACAATACTTCAGTTGGCCTGGTGATCAGAGCGCTCAACTCGCAGTCTGATGGTTGCGGGTTCGAATCTCCGTCACATAACATGATCACTCTTTCAGCCGTGGGGGCGTTATTATGTGACATTCAATCCCACTATTTATTGGTAAAAGAATAGCCCAATAGTTAACGGAGTCTATCTACTAAATTAGGGACGTATAGCTTTGCGCAAAATTCAAAACTAACAAACCAATACTTCAATTAATTTCGTTAGAATGGTTAAGCAGTTGTTTTCGTCCATCATAGTTCATCTTAATTTAGTTTCTCTACACCATTATTTCATACAGTGTCAACAAGGAGAGTGCCACAGCTCTTAATATGGTATTCATAAGTGAGTTCAGGATCTCCGTAAAAACAAGAGTTTCAATTTTCTGGTACGGTCTTAAAAACTAGGGTTGTGGATGAAAGCAATATTTCTTTATAGATTATCGTGAATTTGTAACAATCTCTCAAATTTAAGCAATGACTTTTCATCAGTAACAAAGAGGCACTAAAATTAAATACCAATCCATTCAAAGCATAATGGCTAATTAGGTTTTCTGCGCCTCAGTACATTCTCAACCTACCAGGATTTCCCCTTTTTATAGGTAGAGTAATAACAATCACTTGAAATAGAAAGTCTAATGTCCAGCCAGAAGCAATCTAGTGTTGATTGTCAGATGAACCTTCTTGCCAGGGCGTTATTTGTCTAATATAAAAACCAGATTGTGTTTCAGTATCACATTTTGCAAACTATCATCTACTTTAATATAAAAAATAATAAAACGTTAATCTTTGAGAATGGGTGCAAATTCCAGTTCATTTCCAGTAATCGTACCACTGCCATATTCATTACCGTCATTCGTTGTCTTTTAGAGCGGATAGAAATTGACCATGGTTGTTATGCTGTCATATTGAACTATCAAAACTCAATTACACTATTCTTCACTTTAATGGTTTATAAGTTCATAATTAGGCAGGACAGTGGAATTATGAAGTTAAATATAACCAATTCTACTCGTAATAAAACTTAAAAGATCGTTTGCCATAACTTCAGAGCTCAAGTTAATAAAATGAAAACCCATTTAATGGTAGTTTTAATTCTTTCACTGCCATGACCACATGAGTTTCATTCTAGAGAACTAGTTTGGAATTTTGTACCATCATGAAGAAAAGGCATTCCTCTTCAAACTTCACAAAGTTTCCTAGTTTCTTCTTTCAGTTAAGTAATGAATTATAAATACGTGTTTGTTTGTTTTTTTGTGCACAACTGAAAATAAACTTGGTACCGAGAGAGTTGTTTATCACTAAACGTAGTGGTGAAAGAGTTAAGTTAGGATGTGCTTGAATCTCACTCATTGTCCGTTCTTATTTGGTCTGTACTTCATTAGTTGAACTTCAACGTAGGTTATTGAGACGAAGAACCTAACACTTTTCATTTATCTCAATATCTCTTCCAGAAACATGTTTCCTGAGAACCTTCTCCAGGCCTGCTTCCAACAAGTTGAGACAACGTACGTTAAAGACAAAGTTAAGCCTAACTACGTTCCACCTGGTGTGAATTTTACCAACCTGACTGACTTTGAAAATGTTACGCAGTATAAAGAAAAGAGAGAACTGATTTACAAGGACGGAACTAACGTGCTGGGTAGGATAACTAAGCAAATCAGAAAACGACTCATGAGAACCGATATGTTTTGTGTTCTCTTAATATTTATATTTATGTACCTTCATTTATTTCCTGCTTCGTAATAAAGGGGGGGGGGAATCTGATGTTTGAAATTTAGGCAATACTTGAGCCTATAAGTTAATTTTGTGCCACTAGTGCAAATTTATATTTACGCCCATTTTCTTTGCAAATATGTGTATACTTTTGCCAAATATTAGTCTGTGTCTGCATGTCCAACACTGGGTCATAATGTTAAATTTTAGATTATGACATTATTTTGATTTAACAAGATATCAACTTTTGGTAACTATAAATGATGTTAGTTATAAACATATTTTAAAATGTTCATAATGTGCTCTTACTAGAAGACTTTATAATCGGTTGAAGATGAATATGATACAGTAATGATTTTTTTATTCAATCTTTAGGTTTGATCATTTTTTGCATTGTTTTTGGCGTCACTTGTGGCCAACTTGGAGAGGAAGGGGAGGTTATGGTACACTTTTTTGTGACCCTTAATGACATCATCATGAGAATAGTAGTTTTGGTGATGTGGTAAGTTCAGTCTCTAGTATTTAATTAGCTATAATGTACAGACTTTGTGTTTTTGTTTGTTGAATTTTCGCGCAATGCCAATCGAGGGCTATCTGGACTATCCGTCCATAATTTTGAAGTGATGAACTAGAAGGAAGGCATCCAATCATCGCCACCCATCGCCAAATCTGTAACTACTCTTTACCAACAAATAAAGGGGATTTAACGTATTATAACGCCCCCGCAGATTGCGAGTCGAGCACCTTAACCACCAGTCTATGCCAGGCCTCATTAACATTATCACTTAACCTTCCGTTGGTGCAAAATAAAGCCAATTATTTTCTTCTTTGCAGATTTGGATTTTTTTTTTACTGAAACTTCCTGGTGGTTAGTAGTTAAATCCACCAAGGGCACAAATAGTAAATGAATTAATCTATTTCAACAATCTAGCATATTGGTTACAAATATACCTTTTTTAAACTAAATTTTAAACTAGAACTAAGCCTACCTAGCTGTATCTGTCAGATAAGAAAGGACTTAGTTTCTGCTAAAAATGACTGGTATTTAACGTCAGATATAATATAAGTTCACTATATACATCAGAATTAAAAAGTAACTTCTATTGCTATGCCAGGAAACTAGAACTTTCAATCATTAGAATGCATTATATTACCAACTGAGTAACTTTGCTGTAGACAATATTTTCAATTGTAACCCCAATAATATCTCACAATGTGAGGCTAGTTCAGGAGAATTAAGTTACTTCTTAATCCATCTATAAGGGCAGCGTGGCTTAATGCTTTCGCGCATTGGATTTATAGTCGCATGGTCGCGAGTTCATGCTGTTGTGTTCTTGAACAAGACATTTCACCCAATTACTCTGTTCTACCCACGTGGCCCGGCATGGCCAGGTGGTTAGGGCGCTCGACTCCCAATCTGCGGGTTCAAATCCTCGTCACACCAAACATGCTCGCTCTTTCAGCCGTGGGGGTGTTATAATGTGACGGTCAATCCCACTATTCGTTGGTAAAAGAGTAGCCCAAAAGTTGGCGGTGGGTGGTGATGACTAGCTGCCCTCCATCTAGACTTACAATGCTAAATTAGGGACGGCTAGCGCATATAGCCCTCGTGTAGCTTTGCGCGAAATTCAAAACAAACAAATCTATCCACGTACCAGCAGTTAGCTGGGAGATAACAAACCGATGGATAGGCATTCCGTCCAGGGTGAGTACTTGACCATTCTCATCCACTTGTACTACTTGAAACCGGAGATCGAAAGCACCGACCCTTACGAGGCACGCCTCGAATTCAACTTTTATCTTAATATAATAGCACACTGTACCTGAAAAGAAATTTTTTTTTTTTATCTTTATAATGTTAAAATTTGCCAAAAAGACCGAATAAGTGAGTTGATGCTTATGTTTGTCACTCATATTTAAAATTCGTTGGAAATAATTTTATTTATTATAAATATTATTTCACGACACGTTTCCGTGTACTTAGAGTTGAATATTATTCTACCAACATTCGTAGGTACTCGCCGCTTGGAATTATGTCCCTGATTATAGGAAAGATTATGTCAATAACAGATTTAGCCCGAACTGCGCAGCAGCTAGGACTATACATGCTGACTGTCATTATAGGACTCGTCATCCATGCAGGGCTTACTCTACCTCTTATTTTCTTCGTCATCACCAGGAAGAATCCGCTAACGTTCCTCAAGGGGATGCTGCAGGCGTGGATTACTGCTCTCGGTACCGCTTCAAGGTGCGTTTTCATAGATAAAGACTTAACTTCAACACCGTGTGTATAAATGTCAACACAAAATAAAATTAATATAAAGCTCAAGAAACTAAAATTGGAAGTGGGTTACAGGAATGTCTTCAGGACATATTAATAACGACAATGAATTCAGCTGCAATAACCATCACATTACCAAGATATCAAACAGACGTAAACGCACAACGTCATTGATGCTCGTTGTATGCAAGATATTTGTAATACCATTTAATTTTTAGTTATCTTTAGGCACAGGACCCATGTTAATAAAAACGTTTTATGCATCACTTGTGTAAAAACTGGTAAACAAAAGGTTAAACACTTACAAGAGTGCACTTGACCAGCGTTAAAAAGCGCTAATAAATATTGCCGTTTATGTTGGTGTTTTTTTTTAGTGCAAAGCTATACAATGGGCTATATGCACTCTATCCAACTCCGGGAATCGAACCGCAGATTTTAGCACTTTAAGTCCTTAAACTTTTTTGTTCATCCGTGCGAATAAATATTAATCAAAAACTCCTTAAGTGTGGAAAAAAGCTGCGGTTAAAAAGGATTGACTGTGCGACTTAAAGGAATGAAATCAGAATTGACGACCAAACTGGTAGCTACACTTATAGCATTGATAAGAATTTTACAGCAAATATTCATTCATTAGTTAGCTAGGCTGCGTATTTTGTTTTACCCACCATCGTGCCGCAGGTTGAACAAAAAATGCGGCACGATGGTGGGGAAAACAAAATACGCAGCCTAGCTAACTAATGAATGAATA